CCCGATTTTGTGATGCTAGACACTTTCTAATCCTTCTTAAGACTCATATCTAGGTTATACTAAGCCTAGAGCACTCATATGGACCCACAGTTTCGTTAAAAGACGATAAATTCGAGTTTAATATTGATATACAGATCAATTGCATAGAATAAAAGTTTTGGGTTGTCACATATATTTCTTATACTATTATATCGTAAGTAAATTTACTTTAAAAAAAGAACTTATTTTTATTTACTAATCCATAAATACAATATTACAATTTATTCGATACAAAATAAATTATTATAAATAAAAATGCTACAAAATTTCAAACTCTTTTCATGTTTTCGTGCCAATATTTCCATATTTTCTTTGCTTTCTCAATTTTCACCTCTTCACTATTTTCCACAAATTCTTCTAAATCTACAAGAAAATTAAAAAAATTTTGATTAGTGAAAGAACACTCACAAAAATGCATATTTATATATCATGTAAGATTTACATGTGATTATATAATATGATTTTCACATGTAACTGTATTTTTTAAGATTCAAATGTGAAATTCACAAGAAAATTTTGAAAAATAATTAATGAAGAACACACACAAAATGAATAGACGTAATTTATATGTGTTTTATTTATGATTTACATATAAATCACATCTAATTCATATGTGATTCACTTGTGATTTACATGTGGTTCATATGTGAATTACGTATGATTTATATGTGATTTACATGTGAATCACATGTAATTCATATGTGATTCACTTGTGATTTACATGTGATTATATGTGATTTATATGTGAATCACATGTGATTTACATGTGAATGATATGTAATTCATATGTGATTCACTTGTGATTTACAGGTGAATTACATGTGATTCATTTATGATTTACATGTGAATTATATGTAAATTACATGTGAATCACATGTAATTCATATATGATTCACAAGTGAATTATATGTGAATTACATGTGATTCAATTATGATTAAATGTAATTATATGTGATTTACATATGAATTACATGTGATTTATATGTGAATCATGTGTGATTTACATGTGAATCACATGTAATTCATATGTGATTCACTGTCAACATTAAGAAGCTTAACCTGATCAAACATACTTATAAACACAATATTATGCCACCCGTATCAAGGATTTAATAACCCCAATTGAATTACATAACAAATTCGATTAAAAAGGCATTTCATTGCATTACAAAATGTATTTAGTGTTATATGCAAACATATTGAGAAAGTTACAATCAAGTTGCATAATATTGAAAGATGTATGCTTTTAAAATCCAAAGAAACCTCACTAACAATATCACGACTCCCAAGGTTAAGAGCATCAGAGAAGAACGAAATATCTCTCTTCAAATAACTGGAGTTAACTTAGACGCGAAAAATGATTACCTAATTTACCGAGAACCAGAAGCAATAACGTCATAATCTTCAATGGTGGAGGAAGCCATGGATTTCGAGGTCGAATCTTTGATTCCAAATGACGATTCCAGAACTTAGATACGCTAAAAATAGTAGATTACATACTTAAAAGATAGAACACGGTGAGGGCTAAAAATCAATGCAGAAACCGAATGTGAAACAATGATAGAAATCGATTTCATTAACATCGAGAAAACAATAGTACCTATTTCTTGGATGAAACATGAAGGTCTGAGGAAAGTGATGAAGGTCCAGTGATTGTAGAAATCGATTTCATTAACGCCGGAAACGATTCTAGGCATAATCGTCGAGGAGACTTGTAGCAGCAGAAAACTACCAATGGTCGGAGCATTTGTTACAAATCTGTCGATCTGCAGATTATGGAGTGTTACTTAAGATGGGACGAGGTGAGAGAGAGAGAGACAGAGATAGAGAGAGAGAGAGAGAGAGAGAGAGAGTAGGGTTAATGCGATAAACAGTCTCAATCCGTGAAATGCCCCTCATTCATTTTAATTAGATCATCCATGTCATCTTTTTCCCAAGTATTTACTAAACTGTCACAATGCATTTTAACCTATTATTATTTTAATCTAACGATCATTATTTAGTTAGTTTTCAGGTTCTCAAAAACTTATTAGTTTTCAAATGATCATTCATCTCACTCACACACACACACATATACTCTCTCTCTTTCTCTCTTTCTATCTTTCTCTCTCTCTCTCTCTCTCTCTATATATATATATATATATATATATATATATAGAGAGAGAGAGAGAGAGAGAAAGAAAGAGAGAGAGATTGTGTTTGTGTGAGTGAGAATGTGTGTGGATTAGGGGTGAACAGTGATAGCGGGTATCCATTTTTGGAACCGAAAATGCTTCAGAACCGTTGGTTATGGAATCGGAACCGAGGTCACTAGTTCCGGTTCTAGTTACTTAAATTGGGAGCTGTCAAATATGTGTTTCAGTTCCAATTTTTATTCTTTAGGAACCATTCCTTGTTAGGTAACTGCTCAAACTATAAAATTTAAAAATAGTTAATTGGGTTACTAAGTCCTCTTAGGGGTGTTGTAATTACATCCAAAATAATACTCAAAGACCTACTTTAGAAGTCAACAACAGGTTAGTCTTCGTTTATAATTTAATACGAACATCCAATATGTTTCTTTTACATTTATGGTTCTGCTGTTATATATTACTTTTAGTATTGATCTTTTGAATTTTTAATTTAAATAATCTATCTTGAAACAAAACTTACGTGCATAGTCCTTCATTTTATCTTTTGATTTTTGTTCTAACCTTTTATATTATTTAATATAAATGAGACAGCCTTTATTTTTCATATTTTGTTTAATATATATTACATATTTTTGGTTATGAAAAAATATATAGTCATATATTAATATAAAAAGCCATGATTTTTAGGCTATTTTCTCCGTAATTATTGGGTGTTTTGGACATATTCGGCACTTTAAAATATTGGAAACGAAGTTAAGGGGTGAACATTGGACGTGTTAGACAGTTTTCAGGTTACACGGTTCAAGTTATTCGGTTTGGTGTTTGTCTAGCTGTATTAACTTTCGATTAGATGGTTATTGGTTTATTTGTGTTCAAAAGGTTAGGCATAGGTGAAATTCATTTGTTTGTGACATATTGACAATCTTAGTTGATGAAATATAATTTGACATATATTTAGACTGATTTACAAAATGTTGATCCATCAAAATATTGTCGTTTTCTAAATAATCTTGTTAATATTTCTATCTTTTTGTTTTATATATTTTTGTAATTTTGTAATTTCGTTTGTTCTGTACATGTGAGATTATAAAACAATACAATTTGTAATAAAATAAAGAGTAAATTACATGAATCGTCATTCTTATAAGTGCCAAAATGAATATTTAGTCTATATTGTAAAAAATTATATATATATATATATATATATATATATATATATATATATATGGATGAGATTGGTTGAGAACTCATAGTATGTCGAGAACCGGACAACTATATATGGATGAGATTAATTGAGAAGTCATAGTATGTCGAGAACCGGACAACTAAAAGTGGAGCATTAGATCAAAATTAATTCATTAAGGGTATGATCGTAATCTTATCAAACTGATTTAATGTTTAATTTTGTGTGTTATTGTAAATATTTATAGAAATGTCTAACAAATTACATAATAAATCAAATTTTCATTTTTTTTTAAAATAGTATTTTTCATGTTTTTTTAAAGTGTTGAATTTTTTAGGGTTTTATAGAAAACATTCTTTTTTGAAAAAAAAATTGAAAAAAAATATTTGTTTTTAAAAAAATTGCAATTTTTTTAAAACAATTTAAAAAATCAATAAAAAAAAGTTAGGAATATTTAAAAAATACCATAAATTTTTAACCAAAAAAAATAAATATTTTAGATACATTAATTCATATTTTTACAAATGCATATTTGCATATTTCGTATACTATAATATTTGTAAAGATATAATAAGAAAACTCATTTTATTTACTAATCTATAAATACAATACAGTAAGTATTTTATTTGTTACAAAATAAAATATACAAAAAACAAAAAATGCTAAAAAATTTCAAAGCAATTTCATGTCTTCGTATCAATATTTCCATATTTTATTAAATTTATGATTTCCACCTCTTCAATATTCACCACAATTTATTCCAAATCTACAAGAAAATTAAAAAGAAATTGATTGATGCAAAAACACTCACAAAAATACCTATGTGATTTGTATGTGAATCACATGTAATTCATATGTGAATTACATGTGATTTATATGAATTACATGTGAATCACGTGTAATTCATATGTGATTTACATATAATTCATATGTGAATCACATGTAATTCATATGTGAATTAGATGTGATTTACATGTGAATCACATGTAATTCATAAATGAATTACATGTAAATCATATCTGAATTACATGCGATTTACATGTGTATCACATGTGATTCGTACGTAAATCACATGTAAATTACATATGATTTACATGAGAATCACATGCAATTCCCATATGAATCACACGTTATTTATATATGAATTACATGTGATTAATTCTAGATCGCATTATCATATGTTATTTTTATTAGAATGCAAAGACAAGGGTAGTCATTTGAATAATCATAATTAACAACATAAATGTGCTCATTTCACATGTTTTTGTTATGTTTTTCATTGTCAGCATGTTTAAAGTATGGTGAGAAATAAATTTCATTATTCTCCATCTAGAAAGAAACCCAAATTTGCAACTTAATCTTTTCATGTGCTAGTTTGATTGTACTTCATAACTGACAACATGAAAATAAACAAATATGTCATGAATTTTTTTAGTATCATTAATAAATGAAACTGATTATAAAGAATTAGGACAATTACCAGTTTGTATGTCAATGTGTTCTAATAAATCTCATGAAGATATTTATTGAAAACAATCAAAGCCAAAAGGGTCATATATATATATATATATATATATATATATATATATATATATATATATATATATATATATATATATATATATATATATATATATATAACCAATCTATTCATCCTTTATTGCGTTATAAGTCCTAAGATAATAAACACTTGTTTTAATCACAAAACTTACTGATGATTCTCTTCTCAGCTCAACATAAACTTTTGTAAGTTTGTCCAAATCAGCATCATGCAATTCTGGGAAAACATGTAATTTTACAAACGTGATGTACTTCTTCAGCATATCTTGAGGAAGTATATGAATAAAAAACAAACTTTAGTAAATAAAAAAACACAAAACCTAAGGGCAGTTGTGGTATAATATTGGTACCTCAGGATCCATCATCATGACAGAGGCATCAATCTCTTCTTCGGAATTGTTCATGGATTTGTCATCCATGTTGCCACCTTTCGGTTTGGATTTGAACTGAGTATCAACCACAAACTTAGCAAGAATTTCATCCATTACAAGGTCAACCATATCTTGTATTTGTATTAAACCATGTTTGTTAATATATATGATGGGCTTCGAGCATTCTAGCACTCCTATCATCTATATGCAACCTTAGATACCTTGGATCTATGTTTTCTCTATAATACCTGCAAATTCGGTTTTTCCAAGGTTCTCATCCTCACTAGCATATCATGGGGTACTTGTAATATAAAAAACTAGTAGCATGACTTACATTTTCTTGTGGTTGATTTCTTGGAGCTTTAAGAGCCTAACACCAATAATTTGAATGCCTCAAGTGGAATCACAAATCACCCAAAACAACTTGGAAGACTTTGATAAAATATGAAGCACTCTAGAAACCGGCCCACCCTTGTTCTCTCAGACAGTAGTGTCATTTCAAGAACTAAAGACCTATTTATATAGTATGGTGGATTAGGCTTTCATCCATGTAAACCCTAACACCCATGAGCTTTCATTTCCATAGGATCCATGGATTAAAAGCTTTGTGGACTATCCATGGATTTTCATGCAAGCTTAGACCATCCTTAATGAACATTGGCCGATTCTATATATATATATATATATATATATATATATATATATATATATATATAATATATATATATAAGAGTCTATATTTAATTAGTTTCCTTTTAATCACTAAATTAATTCTTGATCAATACTAATTAGATAATATGATTTCATATATTATAAATTATAATATATTAATAAATCATAAATATACTATTCTCAAAAGACTATCCATACAAACTGTTCCATTGAAGTGCAACCAAAATGGACCATGCCGTGTTGGGTCAAGTACATACAAAATATAGTTATGGACTTAGACACCTTATCCAACAGTCTCCCACTTGGATAAGTCTGATAATTATAGTTGCAAGTATGACCTCAGGAATCGACCAACAATTGTAGCTCTTAAAACTCTGTTGATCTATGAAGTACCATTTTAGATAAGTGATCATATAATCCTGTATTCTCAAGATATCATCTAGAAAAATACAAGGAACAACGTCGTACTTATTCCCCATGAGTTTGTTTCCCAATTTCTGATTTGTTTGACATAGAACTAAACTGAACACTTCAATTTGGTTCTGATTGGGCCTGACACATAGGTCAAAACAAAATCATCGAAGGGCCCATATATCGCTTCTAATCCTCCAAGGACTAAAAGGAACATATAAACTTTGACTCATATGCTTTTACTAACTACTTTTTGAATCATACATAATGGCACATTTTATAACATCAAGTTACTGATGATTTTTTGTGCAATCAATGTACAACCAACTCATAGTCAACAACTCATATATCTAGGTTTGAAGACTTATATGATATTACCATCTCAAGATCACCCGAAATAAATTCCATGAAGTGATACATGTGAGCGTGGATTTAATACAATACTCAGGACTTATGAGTACTCATGAATGTTGTAGCAACTTTTTCTATGTTTAACACCTTAGACATCTACAAGCCCAATTCATGATAGTCTTGATTCATACCTACTTCCAAAGTATGTTTGACTGTGGAGAGTGTGAATAAAGTAATTATTCTGGAAATCTAAACATGCTAAGTTGAAACCATAGTAAGCGATTGACACAAGATAGTAACACCTTATTCATAAAAAACAATAACTTTTATTTAATCATCAACTGTCAATTACATTTTACAAGTTGCAGAAACAGCTATCTAATCAGTAAAACAATTATCTTTCTTCAGCCTGATATGCCTCGCATGCTGCAAATGCCTAACTCTAGTCAGTCCCTTTGTGAGGGGATCTGCTGGTTGTTTTCTGACGGTACCCACTTTGCCATGAGGAGTCCTTCTTCTATCTTGTGTCTTAAGATGCGATATTTTCTATCAATCTGTCTGGATCTGCCATGATCTCTCGGTTCCTTGGCTAGGGAAACCACACTATTGCTATCATAGAAAATCTCCATAGGCTCCTTTATAGCTAGTATAACTCCAATGTCTCTGATGAAGTTCTTCATCCATATCGCCTCATTCTCCGCTTCCCTCGCGGGTATGTACTCTGATTCACATGTCGAATCAGCTACTGTCTCCTGCTTGGAACTTTTCCAAGTAATCACTCCTTTACTCGGTGTAAAGACCCAGCCCGATTGAGATCGGAAATTATCTCTGTCAGTACTTGAGAATGTTCTTTACCGCAGTCCAGTAAGCCTTACTAGGGTTCCCCTAATATCGGTTGACCATGCTTAAAGAAAAGGCCACGTCAGGGCGGGTATAAGTCATAGCATACATGATCGAGCCAACAACGAAAGCATATGGTAATCGACTCATCTCTGCTATCTCAGCCTCGGTACTTGGACTCCAAGCTTTACTCAGTTTGGCATTGCTTTGGATCGATAAATCACCTTTCTTGGAATTCTGCATGTTGAACCTGTTCAACATCTTTCCAAGTAGGTGCTCTGACTAAGTCTAATTAGTCTTTTACTCCTATCCCTCAATATCCTTATTCCTAGGATATTGGTAGCTTCCCCAAGGTACTTCATAGCAAAACACTTCCCAAGCCAGGACTTAATCTCCTGCAAAGTTGGGATTTCATTTCCTATGAGTAATATGTCATCCACATACGCTACCAAAAAGATAACTATACTCCCACTAGCTCTGACATATACAAATGACTCATCCTCGCTTCCCGAAAAACTAAACTCTTTGACTTTCTCATCAAAACAAAGATTCCAGCTGCGAGATGCTTGTTTCAATTCATAAATGGATATCTCAAGCTTGCACACTCTATCAGGGTACTTTGCATTGACAAAACGCTCTGGCTGACTCATGTAAACATCTTTAGCCAACTTTCCATTTAGGAAAATAGTTTTGATATCCATTTTCCATATTTCATAATCATGAAATACAACATTGGCTAGCATAATGCTAATAGACTTAATCTTCGCTACTGGTGAGAAGGTTTCATCGTAGTCAACTCCCTGAGTTTGAGTGAAGCCATTCACAACCAATCACACCTTATAAGTGTGCACTTTGGTATCCATGATTGTATTCTTCTTGAAGATCCATTTGCACCCGACTGTCTTATGACCCGATACATTATCAACCAAGTTCCAAACTTGATTTGGACTGAATCTTGCTATCCATAGCATCTTTCCATTTAGCAGACTCAGGGCCTGTCATCTTCCCTATAGCTGTTAGGTTCATCCAAATTTACCAGTGTACTATCACTGATAAATATATCACCTTCCGCGGTAATATGGAAACCATAATAATGCTCAGGCAGATTTCTACCTCTAGTGGAACGCCTCAACTGGAGTTTCCTCCTCAAGTTAATTTCTAGTGTCTGAAGTTCCTTCATCGCTTGACTCATGAATCTCTTTAAGGTCAATTTTCCGCCCACTGTTTCCTTGGCTTATAAATTCTCTCTTACGAAAGACTCCTCTCCTTGCCACAAAGACCACATTTTCACTGGGTCTGTAGAAGAGGTAACCAAAGGATTTTCTGTGGGTAACAGATGAAAATACACCGCTCACTTCAAGGTTCAAGATTATCGTGAGTCTCGCGCCTCATGAAAGCCTCGCAACCCCAAATCTTGATGTGGTATAAAGTGGGTGTTTTCCTAGTCCATATCTCATGTGGTGGGCGGCAGTCTCTACGACATACCCTCAAAATGAGATTGGTAACGAAGCTCGACTCATCATGGAACGAACCATGTCCAACAAGGTTCGATTGTGCCTCTCAGCCACACCATTAAGATGTGGTGTTCTGGGAGGTGTCAATTGTGAAACGATTCCACATTCCTTAAGATAGTCAAGGAACGATGTACTAAGATACTCTCCACCTCGATCAAATTGAAGCATCTTAATTTTCCTGCCCAGATGATTCTCCACTTCTTTTTTAAACTCTTTGAATTTCTTAAAGGTTTCTGACTTATGCTTGCTTAAGTAGACATAACCATATCTACTATAATCATCTGTGAAAGTCACATAGAAGCGGCTAGCATCCCTTGTGGCAGTTCTGAAGGGTCCACATACATCTGTGCGTATGAGGTCCAAAAAAACTTCATCCCTAGCACAAGTACCAATGAATGGTGACTTTGTCATTTTTCCAAGCAAACAAGACTCACAACCATCATCCATATTTAATTCATATGATTCCAAGACTCCAGCCTTTTAGAGTTGGCATATGCGCTTCTTGTTAACATGTCCAAGACGACAATGCCACAAGGATGCTTTGTCCAAACTAGTGGAAGAATCAATATGTAACACATTATTTCCTAAGTTTTCTACAACCAAAACAGTTTCATATACACCATCACGAAGTAATGCTTTAAAATAAAGAACATTATTCTAAAAACCATTAATGCCACCACATTCATTATTAAATGAAAAAGTAAATCATTTTTTGTACAAACCGTGATAGGAAATAATATTTCTAGCCATTTCAGATGAGTAATAACATTTATTTAAATCTAATATGAACCCACTACTCAACAATAAATAATAAACTCCAATCTTGGTGACAGGTGAAGCTTTCCTATTCCCCATGATCAAGTTTATCTTCTAGTGCTCCATATCCTCACATCTTCTTAGGCCCTGCAAATCAAAACATATGTGAATACCACAACTTGTATCAAGGACCCAAAAATTAGTTTGTGGTGAGTTATTAGACAATATAGTGTAAATACCTGCATGGTTAGGTTTAACCTTCCCATCCTTAACATCTTCCAGGTACTTGGGGTAGTTTCATTTCCAGTGCCCCTTATCATGACAATAGAAACATTCAACTTATTTTGGGTTGGAAGAGGGAGTGGCAGAACCACCTTTGGTTCCGCTCAAAGCGGATCCATCTAGAGACTTTCCCTTGGTACCTTTTGAAGGGGTCTTCTCTTTTTCCTTTTAACTTTCCCGGTTTTCAGAACAGGGGAAGTGTTGGGAGTAGGAGTGGTAACAACCGATTTACCTTTGATTCCACTTTCGGCGGTCTTCAAAAGTCCTTGAGGTTTGTTGAGTGTGACCTCCTCCTTGTTTATA